CTGCGCCGCCGGGAACCGGGACGGCGGGACCCGAGAGGCTAGAGTACTGGACGGAGCAAGGGAGGACGTCACACCTTCGCCTTGGTGCGCCGGAGGTGTTTCAGAGCAGAAGAAATGTACCCTCCCCCCCGAGAGTACTAAAGGGGATAGGATCGGGTTAGGTTAAAAACAGTGTTGGTACAGAAGAAAAAAGCTTTCATGAGCTGGGGTTTAGGGTCAGCTTTTGACCACTAGCAACAAAAGCAAATAAGGGCAACAAATGACCTTCTTGGACCAAAGCAGGCAAAATACAGTTTCTGTGATTTCACCATTTGTCTTGAATCCTGGCATCTGAGTTCATTTCTGAGTCTTGCTTACGTTTCCAAAAGCCTGACCTTTCTAAGCAAGCTTAAATTAGTCAAAATTATTAAGACCTTATAGTCATGCATGTAATATTTTAACATTTGTTACATAATTAACATTTGTACAAGAATTTAAGGTATTCAAAGCCTTTTCGCTTGAATTGTCTCCTCTAGCCCCACAAAAATCCTCTGGGAAAGCTCTATGTCATCATTCCATTTTAGAGATGAAGAAACTGAAGCTCAGGGATATTAGGAGGTTTACTTAAAGTTACAAATCTAGATAGGAATTTAGCAGAGACGCAAAGCCAGTGGTTTTCACACTTGTGAGCTGAATTTGGTCTCTGGCTTCTGATAGCAACGCCTTGCCCTCCTTTAAAAAGTAGCCCTGCCTTTGTACATACAGCTCTAGAATAGTCTTGAACTTAATAGACAAGGCTTTCCCATTACATTAAGGTACCTCCTGAATATATACCTGATTAACTTTCGATTAAGAAAGCACTTGGAGTATGCATTGTCTCAGGTTTAGAATTGCCTAGCGTTATAATGGGAATCTACAGATGTATGCATTGAAAGGTTTTCAATCCACAGAATAGGGGAGTGGGAGACATTCTCTCTATATTTCTATAAACTGTTCTACTGCCTAAGATCAGAACTGATCATTAGTTTATTTCAAGAGCTGTCCTATTTGGAGCCCCCAATTGGACAGGCTATGGCTTTGGATTTTAAAGATACACAAAGGAGGCCATATGGATGATATAAATTATACATGTGTTGTAAGATATAAATTTGAAGAATATATTATAAAAGGAAGGATAAAATAATTAGTTTCATGCAACCAAGAGATTTTAGAAGTTAAAAAACTTAAACCTTTTTTTAAGTCATCAAGGAACTTTAAGAGTTTGGAGTAATCAGATGTTCAGATTCATGTAATGAAATAGATTTGTCTTTTATTTATAAAATCTTAGGGACACATTTTCAGGAATTTTTATAGTGGAAATACCTAAAATTTACTTGTTTGCCTCCTTCCTATTGTCTCTAGTTGTGCCACCTATGGATATTATATTGGAGAATAAGATTATTCATAAGAAAAGCATGCATGGCTCTTTGAGTGGGTTTAGGTTTTCGCTTTGTTTTGGCCCAAAGTTTAGAAAATACAGTTGGTGACCTTAAATGATCTTTTCTAGGCCTGTGAAGCTGTGAAGTTCAGAATTTTGAATGTTTTCTATGAAGATGATCTGCTTCTTGCTGTTGTTGGGTGCCATCAAGCCACTTCAGACTCATAGCGACCCCATGTACAACAGAACAAAACACTGCCTGGTCCTGCACCATCCTCACAATCGTTGTTACACTTGAGCCCATTGTTGCAGCCACTTTGTCAATCCATCTCATCGAGGGTCGTCCTCTTTTTTTGCTAACCCTCCACTCCACCAAGAGTAATGTCCTTCTCCAGGGACTGGTCCCTCCTGATAACATGTCCAAAGTACATGAGACAAAGTCTCATTGTCCTTGCTTCTAAGGAACATTCTGGCTGTACTTCTTCCAAGACAGATTTGTTCGTTCTTTTGGCAGTCCATGGCATATTCAATATTCTTTGCCAACACCATAATTCAAAGGCATCAGTTCTTCTCCACTCTTCCTTATTCTTTGTCCAGAATGCTGGACAGTGATCTGCTTACCTATATTCAAATAGCTGTTTGATATTGTGAAAGGGAAAGCTTCTAAATAGCTACCTGAAAGAATTTGTTTTCCCCAGTTCTGTCCAGTGTTGGTCCATTTTTCTTTTTTTTTTCTGTATTTATATTCCCTCCCTCAGTAATTTCATCCAGTCTCATGGCTTTAAATACTGTGTTGATGACTCCCAAGTTTATTTCTTCAGACTAGACCTCTCTCCAGAATTCTAGTCTCCTATGTCCAACTGGAAACCCTGGTGGCATACTGATTAAGAGCTATGGCTGCTAACCAAGAGGTCGGCAGTTCAAATCCAACTGTCATCTCAACTTGCACATTTAATAAACATTTCAAACTGAGTATGTCCAGAACTGAACTTTTGTTTTTCTCCTCAAAAATCTAAGCCTTCTTCTAAGTTGTTGGCAATGCCATCCTTCCAGTAACCAGGCCAAAATTCCTGAAGTTGCTCTTGAGGTCTCTGTTTTCCTCATACCGCACATCCAATCTGTGAGGAAATCCTGTTTCCTCTTAAATTGTATCCAGAATCCAGCTACTTCTGACTTTCTTCACTGCAGCAAACCTGGATAGAGCCCCATCATCTCTAGCTTGGATTATCAATCGAGCCCCGTCATCTCTAGCTCTAGCTTGGATTATCAATCGAGCCCCATCATCTCTAGCTTGGATTATCAATGGAGCCCTATCATCTCTAGCTTGGATTATCAATGGAGCCCCATCATCTCTAGCTCTAGTTTAGATTATTGATCGAGCCCCATAATCTCTAGTTTGGAGTATCTCAATAGCCTCCTAGCTGATCTCCCTGCCTCTGCCATTGCCCTCACCCCTCCCCAGCCAGAGTCATCCTTTTAAAACATATGTAGTATCAGTCACTCCTCAACTAAAAGCCCATCAACGACTCCCCATTTTACTCAGATTATTAACCACAGTGCTTACAAT